TCTCCAAGGTCATGGAATCCATAGTTGCCGATGCACTGGTGTGCTATCTGGAAAACTGCAACCTCATCACTCCTGAACAGCACGGTTTCCGTCGACAGCGGTCATGTACAACTAATTTACTAATTGCACGCAGTAGTTGGACCGAGGCAGCCGACGCTGGAGAAGGTGTTGATGCGATCTACCTGGATTTTTCCAAGGCTTTCGATCGCCTAGACCATCGGATACTACTATCCAAGCTGCAGCATTACGGGATCGGCGACCCTCTTTTAAGCTGGATCGCCAACTTTCTATTTCGAAGGCAATTAGTGGTCAGAGTTCGGAGCTCTTTATCGGACCCCATACAAGTCGAGTGTGGTGTGCCGCAAGGCTCGGTTCTAGGTCCACGTTTGTTTTTGGTGTTCATTAATGACCTTGCACAGGGAATCGCTTCAAACTTCCTAATGTTTGCCGACGATATCAAGATCTGGCGCAGGATCCAGACGAACGCCGACCAACATGTGCTCCAAAGTGACTTAGATACAGTGTATCAATGGTCGATCCAAAACTTGTTGCATTTCAACGTCAGTAAATGCAAGGTGCTTTCCATCCGACATCAAAGCAGCTACTCATACCGACTCGGAACGGATGTACTGCAACAATCAACTCTCGAACGTGACTTGGGTGTCCTGGTTCAAGATGACTTGGGTTGCTCCAGGCAATCCGAAAATGCCTCGAAGACCGGGAACCAACACGTTGGGCTGTTGAGGCGGGCGTTTGGACAAATAAACAGCTCCATATTTCGACAAATGCTCAGTGCGTATGTTCGCCCCCATGTCGAATATGCAATTCAAGCCTGGCATCCATGGCTGAAACACGATCTTAATGCACTGGAGCAGCCACAACGCCGGGCATCTAAGAACGTCATTGGAATGCGCAATCGGTCCTACCAGGAGAGGCTGCGACGACTAGGATTGTTCAGTGGCAGCTATCGCAGGCTACGAGGCGACCTGATTATGACATACTTGATTCTGCGAGACCCACATCATGTGTGCCGCCCTTTACTGCAACTCAGCAGCAATACAAACCTGAGGGGCCACTCATTAAAACTCGCAGAACAATACAGTCGTCTGGAGTGCCGCAGAAATTTCTTTTCCATCCGTGTCTGTCACCCGTGGAATGCTCTCCCAGAATCGGTCGTTTCTGCACCGACACTAACAATATTTAAAAGACGGTTGGACGATGCACTCATCCACTTACACTTTGTTACTTAACACTATGTCTCCATCCTACACCTGGAGTTTACCCTGGAATTATTTGTTGTTAACTGTGGGTGTTGTGAATCTAAGTGGATCGCATGACTGCAGCGAAGCAAACGATAAGTCCTTATTTTCGTATTTAAAGTAGTAACTATTTTACTATCCTCTTCATCATAATTGTTATGTTGATATCCCCACCAACTATCCAACGGGGCTTGTAAAGCAACGCTTCTTAACCCGTATAAATTCATTGTTCATTGTGACGCCCAGTACGCCTTCACCCCACGACCGCAAGAAGAAGTCCAAGATGAGCCGGGATGAACAGATTTTTTATTACAGCACGGCACCAGTTATATAGCTTTACAAACAAGGGCGAATCCAAGCTACTAAACGCATGAGATCCAACAGGCATGGAGAAAACACAAAATGGAACAAGCAAATGAGAATCGCGAAAATTACGAGCCAATGAAGTGCGGCAAAGAAAATAGTGTCTGCGGAGTTAATCTTTGGGGGTAACCTTCTGGTGAGCGACCATTAAAAACGACGAGTAGCGTCCAATCAGTGTGGAGAAGTGATGCGTTTAAACAAATGCCAGAACAGTTGATAGTGAGAATGATACACACCAGGAAAATAAACACAGGTATAATAAATATGTGTCGGCTGAATAATACATCCACGTGAAAAAGCTAAGGAGCGCTGAGCAAAATAAACCAATCAGGATGTCCACAGAATGAGACGGCTGAAATTAGCTGTGAGCGATGGCGAATGAGGCTGAGGAAAAGCGGCATGTCCAAAATGTAGCAGAGAAGCAGGTAACTGCGCAAACAGAGAAATAGGCAACTAACATAATTCATGAAACTGAGGGTTAAGTAGGCAGCTCCCTAACACGGAAAAACGTGAGAAATAACTACACTGACACCACAATTGGAAGCATCCGTAGCAACGAGAATTTTGAAATTCGGATTGAAGTGAGTCAAGAGCGGGTCAGAAGTGAGAGCTGCTTTGACTGCATCAAAAGACTACTGGCACTCCTTCGTCCATTTCCAACCCTTGTCTTTTGTCATTAGCTGGTTCAGCGGATCTCTGGTTTGGTGAAGGCTTGGTAGGAAAGCGCTGCAATGGCTAACGAGCCCAAGAAACGAACGGAGCTCTGCAATGTCTTCTGGTTGCTTCATCTTTTTGGTGGCTTCAATATTGGCGGGATCCGGACGCCGACCATGTTTATCGATGATAAACCCAAGAAATTTGACACTTCTAATAGGAGCTCACATTTTTCAGCCCGTAATCAGAATCCAGCTTCTTCGAGACGCGAAAACACACTCTCCAGTGTCTGTATCAAGTTTTGCGGATCTGAGCACACAATCAACGCATCGTCCATGTTTACTGCTGTATTTGGGATATCGCTCAGTAGGGTATTCATTATTCGTTGAAAAATGGCCGGTGCGGTTTTCACTCCGAACGGCATCCGGTTGTACTGAAAATGTCCGCGGTGGGTATTTACTGTCATCAATGTTCTGCACTGATGGGCAACTGGGGTTTGCAGGTACGCATCAGCTAGGTCAAGTTTTACGAAACGTTTCCCCCTTTGAGTTTGCTGTACAAGTCTTCTGGTACCGGCAGGGGATACTGATGATCTTCCAACACAGAATTCAAAGCTGTCGAGAAATCAGCACAAATACGGACTTTACCGTTTCCTTTCTTTACCATCACGATAGGTGCTGCCCATTTCGAATAGTGAACCCTTTCGATTATCCCTTCAGATTGTAATCGGTTTAACTCGGCTTCCACTAAGGACTGGGTTGCGTATGGCACCGGGCGTCTTGGACTAAAGACTGGCTTGGCATCTGGTTTAGGGTTCAATGCGGCAGTAGCTATGTTGCAGCATCCGAGACCAGGTTGGAACAATGCATCGTGACATCGTTTTATTACGGCAATCTGACTTTGAAACATCGGGCTTGAAGTCGACGGTTGCGACAGCAGGTTGACTTGCGGTGGCTGACATATACTGTTCACTGATTGATCAAGCAGATTCAGTTCATCCATCCAGTCGAGTCCCAACAAATCTAACCCCGGCTGGTCTGTCACGAAACATGTCGTCTGGATTTGTTTGTCGCGGAAGTTTACCTGACAATTCAGTTCACCAAGCAATTTTAACGTACCTCCTGAAGCATTCCGTGCCGTGTGGCCCGTTTGTATGAGTGTCGGTCGCCCCAGCATGCACCAAGTGTCGCGAGATATCAGGGTGATATCTGAAACCGTATCGATTTGTAACTTGACTTGGAAGACATTGATTTTCACTATTGTGTATTTGCGCTTGCTGGCCCCATCAATCTTGTAAATTGCGGTGATAGATCTGGTCAAATTTGGACGCCGGAACGATTTGGCATTGTTATGCATCTTCTTGGTCAAAATTGGACGAGTCGTCAGGCAACATGACTCCTTATGCCCTTTTCTGCCGCAGCGGTTGCAAGTGCGAGTTTTGAATGGGCACTCGCGGGCCAAATGCCACTCCCTACAAAACCAACATGCAATGGGAGGTTAAGCATGCGGTGAACTCACGTGGGGAGCTTCTTTTTGGGGAGCACGGCTGACGGCACAGACAAAATCTTGATCATTATGATTAGACAAGTGCTGAATCCTTGCGGTATCGTGCTTCAGATTCGTCATGCGTTGGCACTCACCGGTCACTTGCTGCAATGTGACATCCGGATTCTGTTCAATTTTGTTCAGTATTCTTGTTTGAATGTCGACGTCTTTGGATGCTTGTAGACCACAAACGTATATGAGACATTTAAACTGATCACTTGTCATCTTGTGTAGTTGTGACCGTTCGCACTGGTGATTCACACGGCTGGAATAGTCCACCGAGTCTTCGTCTTCTTTTTTTGTTACTGTCAGGCACTTGTACCAAATGTTGAACAAAGATGTCTGCTCTCCGAAAATCTGCGACAGGACTGCAACCACTTCATCGAACGACAAATCGGTACTCCTTTTAGGTAAGATAAAATTGATGAACTTACCGTGTTCGGCAGCATCCAGCTTTCGCAGCATTAGTCTAATCTTCTTTTCCGCTGGAAGCTTGACGAAATGAACCCGGAACATATCTTCGTACTTGTGGAACCAAGAGAAATGTGTTATACCGGCATCAGCATCATAATGGAAATCACTGATCTGCGGAGTCAAGGTTTCTGGTGAGGGAGCACTTTCACTCGTCCCTAACCCTGGGCTTGACTGCACTGTCAGCTTCTGAGTTAGCATCTCGATCAGCTTGGCCTGGGATGCTTCAATCTATGCCTGTTGTTGCTGCAAAAGCATCTGCAATTGTTCAAAACTGATTGCCATTTCCGGGTGCGGTTATACTCGCGTCAACGCTATTATAACTGCACCCGCAATCGACCGGTTGATTCAAGTCTGCTGGTAAATCTGCGCCCTTACACCTGCTCTGTTTGACGTCTTGACAAACCCAACAGGAAGGAAGACAGAAGAAGACTCAGCAGACCAGAGTTGTATTAGGACAGAGAACGCTCATATTTATATGTCTGTCTCACCAACCCTCCAAACATCACCAGGCGGATTTGGCTGTAAGCCCACGCTCCACACATGCTTGTCCGCTCTGTTCGTCCAGTTCACCGTCTTGCTCGGGCACTCCAGTCTTCATCCACCTACCCAGTGCATAGCAACGCGCTTGATGTCTGACGCGCGCTTTCAGCAGCTTCCGGTTAGGCCTTGGCAACACGTATGCTGCCTGATGGGCGATTTCATCAGCTTTCGGCTGGGCCCTGGCAACACGCTCGCAGGGTCTTTCCCAAGCATGATTTGTGGCAAACAGGCGTGCGTTGGCAATCAGCTTCCTCGCCCAGCTGTCACCACCCTTTCCGAATTGAGTCAGCTTGCACACCCTACGAACCTGATTGTGTTCGTAGCTTTTCGCCCGGGGATCGATTTGCAGCCGTTCTGGTCTTCTCCGCTTCCGAGCCGGCCTGCATTGTGCATCTGATTTCTGCGGCATTTGTTTTGTCTCCCCGGGTTGCCGACCCTCAACTTCCAGCCTGAACGTGTCTAGTAGAATGTCCCAATGCAAAGCTGGTGGTTCGTGCGGACCTTGGATTTTGCCATGGTTCGGTCTCAACTGATTGATGTGCCTAATCCACCTCTCACGTCCAAGCATCACCTCGTAGATAACTCTGGCTTACCTTCCAATAACAGTCGCGCTCGACCAGCCCTTCGGCCTTCGAAAATCTCGGATGTAAACCACGTCACCGACATTGAAGTTACGGAGGCTGACTTTGCGATCTTCCTCCAGGTGACTACTGCCGTGATTTTTTATTCTCCTTGGTAAAAGATTATCGAAGGACGTCCGGATCTTTCTTCCAAGTCGTACTTCAGTGGGGGCTTTCCAATCAGGGGAGTTTGGATTCGGAGCGTTCCGATACATGCATAGGAAAGCTTGAATTGCATTCTGTGAACCCCTTCTTTCCTTAATAAGACGATAGCTAGTAGATGCATGCATTGACTGTTTTTCCTTATATGCCATTAACGATAACCCATATGCTGCTATATAAATATTTATGGATATGACCAAGGAAGCTTGAGGTGCAAAAACCATGACGGATGCTCCACCCCTTTATCTGTTAGTTTTATGCTCACATGCGGTTTACCGTCAGCTGTTCGCCGCAATAGCGCTTCGCTGCCGCATGACCACCACCGGTCGCGTGTGGGCTCAGTATACTTTGAGTACTTCCGCCCCTACGCAGTCTCGAACCTTTTGGTTGCAAGCCAAATTTGCAAACCACATGATAGGGACTTCTTTAACCGTTTGATGCCAGGCAACAGCACTACTTCAGTTTTGCAGGTTACCGAGGGCGCACAAGAGCGCAGTGCCACTTGGATTGATTCTATCAATGGTAAATGCACCGTAGCACAAGTTACCTCGCTGGCTGGTGAAGATGCTTTCACCACTTCGACAATTGGTCAATCTCTATAGTCTCCTCACTAATATACACATCTGTCCGTATAGTTTTCAAGTCCTGGTGCTGTGCCGAGGCGCTATACGGAAAGTCCTAGCTTGTGTGGCTAACCGCTGTCCTCTGCACAGTTCGTAACTGGCATGGCAGTGAAATGTGAGCCGGGTTATGTCAACAACAGCAGCAGTACATCAGTCACTTGAGTTGATGCTTCGCTGCCATACTACCATGATGAACTATGAAATAAAGAATAATAAGAGAGAAGGGGGACTTACCTGAAAACCTTAATGCCTTAAGCAAACATTCAAGGTCAATGCGCCTACACCTTGTGGTAACAACATACCGTCACAAACAGCTGGCTATCGTGCAAAGGTAAGGCGGCATCAGCGAGACAGCTTCCTTGCGGCTTTCACTGACACGCGCCATATTCAGCCATTACCTCGCCAATAACTCATCACCAAATACACTTTAAACAGGCAATCCGATTAGGAGACGGCAGCAGACGCACCATTGGTGTTGCTTGCGAGCCATGTCCTGTAAAGTCTCGAGTCAAGCACAAGGCGAGTCACGTGGACTCCAGCCCGCAAGACGAGACGGTCCAACGGCATCCAGTTTTGGTCGTCAGTGACTTCATTTCCCGCTGCCAAGTCAACTTCTGTTCACCTCGAGCCTTGCATCACCCTACATCTAGTAGAGTGAACAAGACCCTCCTAGGTAAGCGGTGACCTGGTATACGTGGCACGTGCCAAAGCCAACGCAACTTATTCAGTGCTATCTGTTTTTCTTGGGAGCTAGCATGATTATCACCACCTAGTACTCGCCTATACACATCATCGTTGCGGACACGATGGTGCCATCCGACACCAACAACGCTTCGCAGACAATGATGATCAAAGACTTGAAGGCGCCTCAGACCATCAAACCGAAGGGGGCTGTCTCAGTCTCATAGAGCAGAACGGCCATCACTGTGACCTTGTACACACGGCCTTTTTGACGGAGGAAACTCCCTTCTGTCGCCAAAGATGCCGCAGGTTCAAGAAAGCAGCTCTGATTTTTGCAATGCGTGAGCTGGCATCAGTTTCTTTTCGCCCATGGTTGCTGATGCAGCTGCCAAGATAAGTGAATTGATCAACCACCTCGAGCTCCTTGTTAGTAAGGGTCAAGGGGTTATAAAGTGGCTGGTGGTCCTGCAGCAACACTTTGCACTTTGAATGTGCGAAGTGCATACCAAATAATAGGACCACTCTAGACAGGCTGCTCATGGTTGATTGTGCCACGGCAACGTCGTCGAAAACCAAGACGATTTCGTCCGCATAATCAAGATCAACTAACCTTTCACCAGGCAACACTTCAACGCCTACATCATGAGATTCCGCAAGGGAACCTTCCATGATAGAATCCACGACGAAATTGAACAAAATGAGGAAATCGGACAAACCTGACGAACGTTACTTGTGGTCGGAAAACTATCCGATAGGTCGCCGTAGACGCTGACGCGGCTTGTGGCCAACGGGTAAGACCGTCAACACATGTTAGAAGATGACTGAAACCGTTGAAATGAGGTAAAGGGCCAACAATAGCTACGTGAAAATGTCTAAAACGTGCGTTAGGGGGCGAAAATGTACCTGGAGTAGTGACTGTGTAACGATGAACTTGGCTGGTTTGGCAACTAAGAGAATTTTTAGTCCAATATCTAATGTCTCAATGCATATTGTGCTAGAGGAAGCGGTCGGTAATGAGCTTTACGGTGGAGCGAATACTCGGGGGTGAAAGACCATGAAAATTATAAAAAATGGCTCGACGAAATGATCGTGGGACAAAGGGTCTAGGCTTACTAGTTGAAGGGTCACAGTAAACACTTATGTCAGAGTTAAGTACGGGCAAATGCGTGACTTTCACTGAGGGGTTTGATGGAAGCTGGACAAGCTCAGGATCATTGATTTCAGCGGCCGCTATTCTCTCTTGGTCGATGGGTGTCGATGACAATTGATTCATATGAGCGCAGGATAATGCATCGGCAGCAGCGTTGTTAGGACCGCCTATATATCGGACATCAACACAGAACTGCGAAAGATAGTCCAGATGATGCGTTTCTCGGGATGAGTAACGGTACGAGGCAAAACGGAAAGTGTACACTAGTGGCTTGCGATCTGTCAAGAGTATGAAACGACGTCCTTCTACAAAGTGACGGAAATGTTTCACAGCCAAGTACATGGCGAGCAGTTCACGACTAAAGGTGCTGTATCTGACCTGAGCAGATTGTAGCTTCCGTGAGAAAAATGACAGTGGTTGAAATTCGTTATGAACTAACTGTTGCAAAACTGCACCGACAGCGGAACTTGAAGCATCCGTCTTAAGGACAAATGTAGCGTCCTCAGGGGTGTTCAAGTGATGGAGAGATGTGACCTCGCTAAACTTCTGCTTGACAGCCGTGAAAGCGGCTTCAACTTCTGGGGTTATCGTTAACGTCTTTGAGTTTCTTTTCAGTAAGTCGGTAAGCGGATGAAGTAAATCAGCACATTTGGGAATGAAACTGCCGTAGTAGTTGATCATACCGAGAAATCGGCATAGGTATCGGATAAATTGAGGCATCGGATAGTCGAAGATCGCTTGGAATTTATTCCGGAGAGGTTTAATACCTTCGCCGTCGATCTTGTGACCGAGAAATGCGACGGTGCGTTGACCAAATATGCAGTTGTCCGGCTTGATGGTTATACCTTAGTTTACAAAGCGTTCGAAAATCATTCGGAGGTGTGATAAATGCTCATCAAGTGTGGCGCTTGCGATCAAAACATCGTCAATGTAAACGTTGGCAAAATCAAGGCCACGGAGGATCTAATCCATAAAGCGTTGGAAAGACTGTGCTGCGTTCCATAGGCCGAAATGCATACGAAGAAATTCGTAAAGGCCAAATGGAGTGGTCACAGCAGTTTTCGCGATGTCTTCCTCCGCCATTGGGATTTGATGGTATGCTCTGACCAGGTCGAGTTTGATAAAGATTGTCTTTCCGGCTACTCCAAGAGATAAATCGTGGATTTTGGGGATCGGATACCTATCCGGAACAGTGACGTTGTTGAGAGTACAGTAGTCACCGCATGGTCGCCAACCGCCTGACTTTTTAGAAACCAGACGGAGAGGTGATGCCTAGCAGCTGTTTGAGGGACGTATGATGGCGAGATCAAGCATGTATTGGAATTCGTTTTTAGCTGCCTGGAGTTTATCAGGGTGCAAGCGTTGAGATTTGACAGTTACTGGCAGACCGGTTGTGACGATGTGATGGCGTACATCGTGTTTAGGGTCAGAAGTATCGTTACTTACTCGAATAAGCGACGGAAATTGTCGGAGCAATGAACAGTACTGTGAGTCTTCAGATGTGAGAATGCGAAGCCCGAGAGAATTGACTGAAGCAAGTTTGCAGGGTATGCTTAAATACGTAGTATCGTCTCGTAATTTCCCACAACCTAGATCAACCACAAGACCGAACTTGCTGAGGAAGTAGATTCCGATAATAGGCTTTTGCATATCGACGATGGTACAAATGAAAGGGAAGTTAAGCCGTAGTCCCAGACTCAAGGTAAATAATTTCTGGTCGTAGGTCGCGATTTTAGCCTGATTAGCTGCCGTAAGCATTGGACCAGCTGGTTACAGGGGGCGATTTTCCAGAGAACGGGGAGAACGCTGAATTCTACACCGGTATCAAGCAAGCAGTGAAGTCTGGTTATGGAGTCAAATGCGTACAACAGGCGACTAATAACCTGACCAGCGACAACCGCCGCCATTACTGACTGGCCATGTGGTTTCCCGACGTAGGAGTTAAAAGAGCTTTAGGGTGTTTACACCCTGGACGGCAGTTACGCGCTCTGTCTCCGAAGCGGTGGTGATAATAACAATAGCGGTGCGACTGTCATGTACTAGAGTTGCTAAAACGTTTGGATCGAGAAAGGGATCATCGCGAAGGAATGCGGTCACGTCTGAGGTGGGACAAGGTTTGCTCTAAGTTAGAAAGCCTCGCGTTGATTGTATCAACTAGCGTGGTTCCGGAGGGGTTGCCTGAGCTAGTCTCAGTGACGTGGGATACCGACG